CAATGGCTAAGGGTCTTCGCCAAGGTTGTTCCTTGTCTCCCTTGTTGTTTAATATAGTTGGGGAACTTCTGAATTTATTGATTCTTAAGGCAGTTTCAGAGGGGCTATTTTCGGGTTTGGTCATCAGAAGGGAGGAGAATTTTAATTTATCGCATCTTCAATTTGTTGATGATCTCATAATCTTCTGTGGTGCTTCGAAGAAGCAGATTTTGAATGTGAAGAGGGTGCTTCGAGTGTTTGAAATTGTGTCTGGTCTTTAGTTGAATTTGAAGAAGTGTAAATTGTTTGGGGTTAATTCGAATGAAGAGGAAATCAAGGAATGGGCAGCTGCGATTGGATGTTCAGTGGGTAATTTTCCTTCAGAGTATTTGTGACTTCCTCTTGGATCACACAGAAAATCGAACCTACTGTGGGATTCAGTGGTTGAGAGTTTCAATAAGAGGTTAGCAGGCTGGAAAGGATCCTCTCTTTCTTTGGCAGGGAGGCTGGTTTTAATTAAATCAGTCCTATGTTCACTCCCTACATATTTTTTGTCAATGTTCAAGGTTCTAGCTTCGGTTTACAAGTCCCTTAATTTAATTATGTCAAATTTCTTATGGGGTGGAGGATATGGAAAAAACAAGATTCATTGGGTTAGCTGGTCCGATGTTTGTAAACCAAAGATCGAAGGCGGATTGGGAGTTCCTAATTTAAATGTGATAAATCGAGCACTTTTGGAAAAATGGGCTTGGAGGTTTGCTAATGAGAGGAAGGCGGTTTGGAGGGAAATGATTTGTATTAAATACAAAATGGAAGCATCCTTAATGCAGATTGACAATAATGTTTCACCTAAATACTCTTGGATATGGAGATCTATGGTGAATAATCATTTCAAAGCAGATTCCATTGGCTGTATAATCAAAAGCAAATATAGTTATAAAATTGGTAATGGGAGAATTATTCGGTTTTGGCAAGACGTTTGGGCAATGGATCATCCCTTAACGGTCATTTTCCCTAGACTGTTCTCTATCGCAGTGAACAAAACTGGTAAATTATTCCAGTTTGAGGAATATAGCTCGTAGGGCTGGTTTTGGAATGTTCAGTTGAGAAGGGATTTGAATGACTAGGAATATGAGCAATGGACAAATTTGATGGCTGTCATTTTGGATTTTTCTATTTCTACTGATGGGCTGATTTGGAAGGGTACTGGAGACGGGGTTTTCTCTGTTAAATCATGTGTTAATCTATGTTATTCGGGTACTTCGGATTCGGAGGAAGCTTATTTTTGGAAGACTGTTGTTTGGAGGGGCCTGCTGCCTCCAAAGAGTGGAGATTTTTCTTTGGCAAGTGATTTTAAAGAAGCTGGCAGTGAAGACAGCTCTGGTTAAAAGAGGTGTAAAGGGCATAGATGATATTTTATGTCCTTTTTGTAAGCTATTAGAAGAGACCCCCTCTCATTTATTCTTTTCTTGTTCGATTGTTTGGTCAATATGGAATAAATTCATGAGCTACTGAAATATTCAGTCTGTTTTTCACGAAAATGCAAAAAGCTTTCTCCTAGCTTGGGCTGATTTGAGGACCAACTCTCTCATATGGTCATTTATTCCTGGAGTGGTTTTATGGACAGTATGGAAAACTAGGAATTCTATTGTGTTTGAAGAAGGGAAGCTAGATCGAGCTGAAATTTTCTTTTTAGCAAGGTTCAGGCTTACTTCATGGTTTTTAGCGAAGAATACTCAGGTTTCTATCTCCAAGGATTCTCTTATTACTGACCCTTCCTTAGGGGATTCTTGCTTGTCCCATTCTAATCTGATTTCAACTAAGTTTCCTTGGTCCCCTCCTCCCAAGGGCTTTATCAAACTAAATGTGGATGCTGCTACTACTAGTGATTGGAAGAGTAGTTTAGGTGGTGTTCTAAAAGACGTGTCTGGTTCGATCCTAGGCTCTTTCAAAGTGTCTGCTGGTCCGGGGCCTCCAACCTTGATGGAATTGAAAGCTATCCTAAAGGGTTTAGCTTTTTTTGAATCAATTCGTCATAGATTTAAGACCGTTTGATTATTGAGAGTGATAGTAGGGTGGCAGTTGACTGGGTTAAGAATGTTGTTTTATGTCCTGATGTTTATGTTCAAATTGTTAAAGACATTATTCAAAAGCTCAGAGATTGTGAAGGTCTTATTAGATAGGTTAATAAGACAGCTAATCTAGAGGCAGATGCCCTAGCTAAGGCTGGTATTGGTTGATCCTTATGATCTGTTAAAGGGATGTTTCTTTTTGGTTTTATATCTCCTTAAGGGAGTTAGGTCTTGTATTCCTATGTACTTATCTTATGTTAATGAAATCCTAGGGCACTCTTTTCCTCCTTCTGCTGATTAAGGAATTGTTATCAAGCTCCATTAATCATAAAGAGGGTTTTTAATGAGGCCTAATATTCTTATAAAAAAAGAACTCTAAATAAAGAAAGACTCCTAATACCATAAAGATGTCGTGTATTATTAGCCGGAGGTTAAATCAATGATGGCAAATTTTTTTATGGAGAGGTGGGGTTGAGAAGAAGAGAATGCATTAGGTGAGTTGGAAGAATATTTGTAAACCGATGAGTAGCGGAGGACTGGGAGTTGATTTGAAACTTACCAATCGAGCTTTGTTGGGAAAGTGGGTTTGGAAGTTTGCAAATGAAAAAAAATTGATGTGGAAGAAATTGTTATGTAGCAAACATAGTGTTAGTTGTCATTCCAATTATATCTACAAGGTTTTCTCTCACAAGGACTCTTGGATTTGGAGAGGAATCGTGAATAACTTCATCAAGGAGGATTTCGTTGGAGGTTGCCTTAGATCTCACGCAAAGTTACAAGTAGGGAATGGTAAATCTATCTCCTTTTGGAATGATATTTGGATTGGAGATTTTCTTTTGAAATTTCTTTTTCCTAGGATTTTTGCCCTTTCATCCAATAAATGGGGCAAGTTGGCTGATTTTGGAAGCTTTGAGTCGAATGGATGGGTGTGGAATATTAAGACTAGGAGGAATCTTTGTGATTGGGAAGTGATGCAGCTGGTGGAGTTATTGGATAGGCTTAAAGACATTAAATCGATTGATTCAATGGAGGATTGTTTGTTGTGGGATGGATTGGCTGAGGGGTTGTTTTCAGTTAAAGAATGCAGGATGTCACTTTCTTCTCCCAATGAGGAAATAGTTTTGTGGAACAAATGGGTTTGGTTGGGTTTAGTTCCTCCTAGAGTGGAGACATTCCTTTGGCAAGTATCTCATCAGAAAGTAGCTGTGAGAGTGGAATTGAAGAAAAGGGGGGTTCCCATAGGGGAGGACAGTCTCTGCCCTTTGTGCAATCAATTTGAAGAAACAGTTCAACATCTATTTATTTTCTGCTCTGTTTCGTGGGAATTGTGGAACAAACTAATAGGCTTTTGGGGTATTCTTTTAGCTTTGCCTCCTGATCCTCCTTCCATTCTCAGCTCATGGTCTGATTTGAGGCCTAAATCTGCTATTTGGAAGTTTATTCCGGGGTAGTTTTTTGGTCAATATGGAAGATGAGAAATGATATTGTCTTTGAAAAAGGAAAGTTGGACAGATTCTCCTTGTTTTTCATCGTTTGATTCAAGTTAGTGAAATGGTTCCTAGCAAAGTATCCTCTTTTCCCTATTCAAGTGGATTCGTTAATTGGAGACCGTTCCTTGGCAGATAATATTTCTGCTTTTAGGGAACTGAACAAGCTTGTTTTCGGTTGGAGTCCTCCTCCAGTTGATTTCTTTAAGATGAATGTGGATGGGGCTGTTAGTAGTGTTGGGAAGATTGGTGGAATAGGGGGAATTCTCAGAGATTGGAATCGGTCTATTCTTATTTCTTTTTCAGAAAATGTTGGTCCTACTCTTTCCCCTCTAGCAGAATTGAAAGCCATCAAAAAAGGCATCGACATCTTTGTTTCTTCAGAATGGGTATTGAAGGGTAGGCTCATTATTGAAAGTGACTGCAAGTCAGCAGTGGATTGGATTAAAGAGCCAGCTTCAGTTCCTATTTTCCTTACAAATTTTGTTAAGGAAATTGTGTCTATTGTTTATGTTAAAGAGATTATTGTGAGGTGGATTCCTAGGTCTTGTAATTGCGAGGCTGATAAGCTAGCAAAGGAGGGGATTGGGTGATTGTAAGCTTTGTTTTAGTTGTTCTGTATGTTTTAGAGTTCAGGTGTAATAAGTGTGTATAAGTCTTATGTAATTGGTTTATCATTAATATATTGAGGTACTTTTTTCCTCCTTCCGCTAGTCGGTTCTTGCCTTAGGGTAAAGGACTACTACGAGGGAGGTTTTTAATGAGGCCTCCTATTTCTATAAAAAAATAAATATTTGCAAAAGTAAACTAATGATTTTTTCTTTCTAAAAGTAATAATCAATGCCCCTCTCTCATTGGTTCCATGCGACCTTTGCCTCATATATGTCTTGCCTACAAAGGTATTCGCAACAATCTGTTTCAACCAAAACTAGTTGTATCACAGAGTTTCAGCTAGATTGAGACTAAAAGAGCTGTTAGCTAAGCCTTTGATCTTTGGCTCTCTGTATAGGATTGATAAGTAATATCCGTTTTTCCTGTTTTATCTTTTAGGATGGTTTTTTAAACACATTGTTGATGGTCCTTAGCATTTGTATTTCTTATCTAATAAACTAGAAAGAGAGGTTTGTTAAATAAGCATAAAAATAAGAGTAAGGAAAGTGCAATTTACTAATTCTGTTGTTTCCCAGCTCTCAGTCGTGCCCCTTTCATGCTGTTAGATATTGTCACATCTTGTTCAAGGCTCTATGTATTTTGGATTTCCAAAACACATTATTTTGCAGAGAATCGGGTAGATCCTTTTCATATAACCATTATTTCCCAGCTCTCGGTATGTGTAATTGGTGTTTGTACCTGGTGCATCTGTATATTTGTCCTTATTTATATGCTCATACATTATTTTCTTGTCATAACTCATAAGTGTTATATGTCTCATTCTTTCAATTCAATTCAATTCTTTTTGCAGTATGGACTACCTGGTAGCAATCCTCAGCGGACACATGGATCTCAAATCTTAAGCGACCAAAGTATGAATGATAATGGTCTTGACATTCTTTCGTCTATGCATAACATATACATATATTATAATATTTTTATATCTAGTGATGCTTGGTTGTTTCTTTCCTCATTCATAATTGCTGTTTGATGTGAGTTGAGATTCAAACATTTCGATTTTGGGCTATTTTGCATGCAGTGTTTAATATGGGATCCAATCCTGGGGGGCTTATGGGCATGCAGCCACAACAGCAACAGCAACAACAACAACAGCAGCAGCATGGTGCACAAGGTGCATTTGGGAATATGGGCACTGCCCAGAATTTACAATCTAATATGGTAGCTCTTCAAAACAACCCCAATTTCGCACAGCAAAGGCAGCAGAACCAGCAGTGATATCAACTGCAAGTATAAAAGTTTTGTTTTATGGATAATATGATATGTTAAAGCTTTTCTTATGTTTGAAAATGGTAATTTTTCTGCAAAGCACTTCAGGATGGCTGCTTATGAACGTCTTTTCTATGTTGTCAAAGTTTTTACCAGTTCTGATTGGCATACAAATATTTATTATAGAGAGAGAAATTAGATAGATCCGGTTTGCATATAACCAAGTTAGTTTTACTTTTATACTAATAATATTTTGTCAAGATGTGTTGGATTTTGTAATATAATTCTGTTATTGTGCAAATAAACTTTTGAATAAATTTGATTTCTTTTGTATCAATTGAGAATATTACTTTTTCAGTTTGTACGTAATGATTGAATGTAACCAGAATGATAACGATTTTGTCACTTCTAACTTTTTAGGCTTTACTGCAAAAAAGTCCTCAAATTATACTTTCTTTAGGTACATAACATTTTCTTTTTCAAATTAGTGTTTCATTTCATTATCATTTTCAAATCGTTCGTTAATTTTTTCTTTCATTGATGAATTCATTCAAATCCTGTATCTAACTTATCATTATAAGCGAAGATGATGTGTTTTGGGATTAACTTTGTGGAGGTGATGTTTTAACACAATTGAAGTGTTTGAGACTCGGGGTTATTGATTTGTTGTAAAATAAAATGAGAATGGAAAGGCATATATTGAATTTAAATGTCTTCTTGAAATTGAAGTGTTTGGGATAAAAATTATGTTTCTTAAAAATTAAGTGATTCTTTTTGCAAATTTTTCCTTTTGATTTGTTTTCCTGGATTAGATGTAGGGCTGTAAACGAGTTGAGCTCGTATTGTTTAGCTCGACTCCACTCAACTAGAAAATTTTGAAACGGAATTCAACTCGGCTTGAAAGCTCGTGAGTCTAAAATTTTTAAGCTCAACTCGAACTCAAAACTAGCGTGAAAAAATATTCTTAAACTTAATTTAGTTAAAGTTTAAATTTGGACTCAAATTTAAATCTTAATTATATTTATATTGTATTTTAAAAAAACAGCACATAAATGTTAATAATAATTTATTTTTTAAGAAAATAAAAATTTAATATATTATTTTTTCGAGTAGCTTGCGAGTTTTTGAGTCGAGTTCATTCAAGTCCAGTATTTATCGAGCTTTGTTCGAGTCGGTCTCGAGTAGCTCGCGATATAGTTCGTCTCATTTACTGCCCTAATTAGATGTTACATGTATTTATTAATTATTTTGAGATCACTAATCAGGTTGTTTACCCTTTTGCTTTGATAATATTGACACAAAATTTCAAGATAAAAGATGGTTTTCAAGGGAAGCAAAACAATATTTTTTGTGTTCCCAGTAACAAATGACCCTGAAATGTCAATGATGAGGATAACCATTCATTTTCATGTTTACCTAGAGGAAATAATTATCCCCCAATAATAGACGCATTTACTAATAACAGTATCTATTAACTATGCTCTAATTTTTTTAATAAAAATTCCAGAAATTAATGAAAATAATTCGGGTTATAGAGCTCAATGGAAGAAGTTATAAATAAAGAGAGTTCAAGTGGTAAATAGCACGATATCGTTTATGCAGGTCTCGAGTTTGATGTTTTGTGTATATAGAAAAATTTTGTTGGGAGATTCATCTACCAAAATTAAATGTGTGACACAGGTTGATTTAGATTAATCATGAAAAGTTTTAGAGGATTGGAATGGCAAAAAAAAATCTATAAAACAAATAAAAAGCATAAAAATTCATTAATTTTCAAATAAAAAAATAGCTTGAAAAAATATGGAAAAAAGAAGGTTCCTCGAACACATGGTTTTCAGAACCGGACCGGTTAGAGAACCGGACCGGTTAGCGAAGCGGTCATGCTACCGGTTCACTGGTTCAACCGGTCGAACCGGTCCTACCGGTCAGAAGAACCGGACGATGTCATAATTATTTAAAAAATTAAATAAAAATACCAAAAATATTTAATAAAAAATAATTTTTTATATCACAATTCATATTAAAAGCAAGTCATAACATATATAAGTTAAAAACCATAAAATCAAGTAAAACAAAATGATTCAAATTAACTACAACATAATATTTAAGGTAAAACATATTAAATAATAAATATAATTATATAACTATAATTAAAAAAAAATTTGGGGCTAAAAAAATCATAACAAAATGATATTGTTTGGTTTAATTTTTTAAAAAAAAAACAATCCCACATGGCTAAGAAACATAGAAGATCATCCCAACTAACTTCTATAAATAATAGAGGTAATTTGGCATTCAAAATCATGGAGCCTTTTGGTAAGCATTGAGTGAACTATTCTTTCACTTCAATCAAGCTCGAATTTTAGGCTTCAATTGAGCTTCTAAATTTTTTTTGAGTTCAAGCCTTTTCGAGTTCAAGTTTCGATATTATATTTCAAGTTCGAGTTAAACTTCATAATTTTTAGCTCGTGAGTTTGAATCGAGTTGAACTTACTTTTAAAATTTTCAAGTTCGAGTTGAGCTCAGCAATACTCGAGTTCGACTTGGCTCGTTTAACAAACGACGTCGTTTGGTTTAATTTTTTTTTTTTAAAAAAAAAACAAAATTGGCGGTTTTTTCAGATTTTTTCTAATTTTCAACCGGTCCGGTTTAAACGGTTCAGCGGTTTTGACCGGTTCATTAGTAGCGGTTCAACCGGTCTAGATTGAACCGGACTAGGCAATAATTTCCGGTTGAACCGGCCGAACTGGTCGATCCGGTCCGATTTTCAAAACAATGCTCTAACAGCTAAGGGGTTAGTCTCCAACTCAAGGGATTTGAAGTTAAGGTTCCGAAATGGCGTTTTATTAGAGGAGCATTTTTATGGGATAGATTTTATAGGAAGAGTTTGTTTATTCTTTTACATCAAAATATATTGTTTTTTTAATTAACAGATTGATTCAAGTGGTAAGTAGTTTGATATCACTTAAGTAAATTTTAAGTTTAAGGTCTTGTGTATGTAGAAAATTTTTGTTAGGAGACTCAACCACCAAAATCCGGTATACGACACATATCAGTCCAGATTAGTTCGAGTAGAGCTATCAGGAACTGAGAGGGAAACTGATTTTTTTTTTGTTTTTTCACAACAGAAAAAAAGATTTATATTAAAAGAATATATTATTTAAAGTAAAAGTTAAAAAATTAAAATATCTAAAAAATAAAATAGATCCAAATAACAGAAAATATAAATATTAAGATTAAATTTATTATTATATTTAAAAAGTAAATTCGGATATGGATGGTGAAACCTAAATTGAGAGGTTGAGCAGCTTCAAGGTGCTTCTTCCTCAACAATGATGACCATCGAAAAAGAAAAGAAAATTGGAAGATGAAAGATAAGACTTTCTTTCTCTTTATTTTCGCTCTTTATATAACCTTGTAACCTAGGATGGGCATAGAACCTGAATCTGAAAGGTTCTGACATGACCCAATCAAGTCGATTTTTTTAAAAAAAATTGAGTTTGTGTCAGCTCTATAAATATTATTTTCATTCAATGAAAATAGTAATTTAATTGGAAAAAATATATACAGAGAGACATTATTGTAATTATTCATAAATATAAAAGTAAAATTATATTTTTTTCATTCACTCTCTATATATATATATTTTAATTAAATTTCTATTTTTATTGAATAAAAATAATATTTTTTAATAAATGTATTATTTCGGGTTGGTCGGGTCAAGTTTAAATTTTATCTCAAAAAGTTAGGTCCGGTATTTTTAGAGTTTGTATTCTGGTCAGGTCGGGTTTAGGGTGAAAAATACACAACCCGACCCGACCGGACCTCAAAAAACATATAATTTCACATTTATATTTAGGGATAAATGTAATAATGTCCCTCTATATATTATTTTTTTCTACTAAATCTCTATTTTTATTAAATAAAAATAATATTTTTTAATAAATATATTTAGAGTTGGATCGGGTCATGTTCGAATTTTATCTCAAAAAGTCATATCGGAGAGTCAGGTGAAGAGTGTATGAAGCCTAGTTTTCGCTAATAAGCGCTGGAGTAAACTACCAAGCCTTGCCTTATATTATAGTTGTGGCCATGGCCCGAAGGAGCCTTAAGCGCTTGTACAATGCTCAAGTCAAGGCTCTGGGCAACGAGTAGGATGGAGCCTTGACTTTCTATTATATTAGTAAAGCGTGCCATATATATTGAGGGAAGGGAAAAGGGGTCTCTTTCCTCGCCCGATTGTTGAGGTCGATCCCCTATCACCTTCGGTGCCCCCTTGTGGTCCTTCTCTTTAGCTTTTCCTCGACCTTTAAAGCTAGTTGATAGGCCACTTTCCACATCTGATGCATCGAGATTTCATCTTGGATTTATAACCTCAAGCCCTATCAAGCAAGCAAGGGATTCTGCGTTGGATTCGTTCAAGCCATTGCGAATAAACAATTGGTAGAACTCTGCAACTTTAAGGAGTAGGGGCTTTCTTGTACGCTTCTCTCCCTCCTATCCTTTACTTTAAAGCGAAGTGAAACTTTTGGAACAAGCTTTGGGTCTAATGTTCGAGTAGAAATTAATCCTGCAACCTCGATCGCATCTTGTCCCATGTACTTCCCTTTGCCTTTCCGCTCACGCCTTGCTTGGACTTGATCCCACCACATTGAGGCTTTCCCGTGCTCTTTCGAAAGAAGTATCTGGAAATGACTTGTCATGGGCTTATACGATGAAGAATGATTTGCTCTCGATCCTACAGCTTCTTGAGAGTAAGATCTAATTCCCCCTTTCATTGGGGGACAATGTAACGATGTTTTCCTAGGATTACTGAGGAAATAATAAGAGTGTATTATTCGGGTCAAATTATATTCGGGTGAAGAATATATAATTTTCAGATCAGGTCGGGTTGACCGAAAATTCAACCCATACCAAACCCTATTATAACCGCCCAAAAAGAGGTAGAAAAGAAGATCATTTGATTTGATTGCCTGAATTGATTCCTTTCAATTTGATTGATTTCTAGATCCTTAAATGAATATTTTCTTAAATTAAATCTCATGATCTCGCTTGATTTATTTAAATGTAGGGTAAACTATGCATTTAGTACCTAAATTATCAATTTTG